CTCAGTGAAGAAGCATGTGTGTGTCAGGGCATGGATAAACACTGTAGAAAAGGGTGTGACTGCCATTTCTGTAGACATACCCCTTAAACTTGCTGACTATCGCTTCTGGCGTGGCTGGGCCAGCACCCTGCTCAGCTACTGAAGGACTTACTCAAAAGCCCTAGTAGCAGCCAGTTAAGAGATTAAGGTTAGCTCCAGTTGCACCTGCACTGTAATGTTTTACTGCAGCACCCCTGTTCTTGAAACATTTTTGTTACCCCATGTTAAAGACCTAATACCAGGGGACCATGTGTGGATAGACTCTGCCCATTTTTATGATTAAAATGCTTTCCTTAAACGTGGCCTGTTTTTTTTTAAGTTGAACTATGTTGAAAGAAAGATCCAAACCATCAGGTAGGACCTGTTTCAGAGCAACATGGTCTTGCCAGTCTCCTTGCGCCAGCCCTGACTGCTCTACAGACCTAGCGCAGCACACCAGGCACAACCCCACCTAAGGAAGCAGAGTTGCAGCAGAGAAACCAATTGTCCATCCTGGTTTACCACTTAAATGCCACACTTACAAGATGTTCTTTAACGCTTGTACAGCACTAATTACTATGCATGGCTGCGACACACCCCGCTGTGATTGTCCTTCTTTACCAGTGTTAAAGCGACTGTTTGTGCAAATACAGTTTGGCACATATCCATTTATTTCTGTAGCAGTAATCACTATGGAAATACGAGAACTACCGCATGTATGACAGGGAGTTGCAGTTCCTTGGTTTATCACTGAAGGAAATGGCAACATAAAGCCTGCTTTTGAACCGGCATAAGATGTTACAACCTGGACAAATTCCACAGGCTTCAGGCTTCTCAGTATAAGCTTCACCTGGCTGAGAAGTGGATCACACTGCCTTTTCCCACTCAGAAGACTGGGAGTAAAGATAAGGAAAAAGGTAACTGGGGCGAGGCAGCAGCCCTACCTGTGTTGAAAGAGATCTCAGCAGCATCCAGCTTTTTTTAAAGTCTGAGGTTAGCAAATAGATCTGGTTGCTTTGAATTTTTAAATCTCTGGTGCTTCTGACCTTCTTTACATCACACCACCTGATACTGAAGCCAGGTGGAAAACAGTTCACTAGGCAAGAAATATTTCTTTTCTTTATTATTTTTTCTAGAGCACATATTTGTTTCCCTGCCACACCACTTCCATACTATATTGCACAGAACAAAGGACATAGGAATATGTGCTGAAAATTCCTTATAGCAGATTGTACTGTATGTGGACACAACTCTTCTTGCCCAACCTGGTGACAAAAAAAAAAAACAAGCCTTTTTTTTATAGTGGCATTTTGATAGTGTAAATGCAGCTTCCATTCATTTTTTGGAAATGAGAGTGAGAAATTCTACACAAGACTCATTAGTTTGTTGTTTGTTTTTAAGCCCCAATTATACTGATCACAAATAAATCTACCCCAGTCCTCAGTCACCCAATGCCTAATAAGTGACCATATCTCAGGAAACCCTTCTGTGGATATGACCATGTCTATGATGACATGGAAAATAGGGTCTAGTTGCTTTAACTTAAATCACAAGATAAGCCAGCAAAACAAACATCCTTTCATGTAGGCTAGCTCAGGCCTATCAGTACAGGCTCAGCTTCATATAATGAAAGAGGCAAAATAGTATTACACTAAGAAAAGAAAGTGATCAGAAGTGGATGATTTAGGAGAAAAGGGTTGGTATCAGCATTACCATCCTGGAAAAGAGTTTCTTTGTGATGGCCCAGTTACACTATAGCTATAGAAAGTTAAGGAAGCCATATACTTAATATATTGAAGGGGACAAGCAGAAATGCACAGGTAGTTTACACCTTGTTCAGACATGCTTTTCCTTAAAGCGTTTTCCTGCTGTGATACACATGGTTTAGGAACAGCCTTCTAATTAGATCCTATGGTTCAGTTGTGTAGATTGGATTCAAGTCACTGGTACAGCTGGTCAAAAGGTGATAGTTCTGCTCTATTTATGACTTGGGAGTGTTTGGGGGTTTGGTTGTGGTCGATATTAAGTGGAATGAGTTTTTCCCCAGAGAGGTACATGTGAGTGTACACACTGAGGAAGAGACGATCTTTCAAGTAAGACTACAAGCCTGGGACAAGAGAGGCTGCTGCCTAATTCAGAATGAGAGCTGCCCCAGAACAGCAGGAAACCTCTCCCTCATCTTCCTCAGTGCAGACTTTATTAACGTTTCACAGGCTTGTCCATTTTGTGCAGTCTGTTAGTGCCATTTTGATTACATAGCTGCAAGTGACTGAACTAATTATCAGTTTTAATCTGGCTTGGGTTAAACAAAAAGTGCTGCTAAAAATGGCCAACTTCATACAGGCACAGAAAGAATGGGAGAAGTCTTTTGTTGCATCTCTGGGGATCTGGGGCAAAAGTTCACTCTATTTGGCAACGGTGATCACAAAATAAGGTAATTTAAACCTTGGCTGGTCATGTCTTACAATATTAAGAAAAATGAACCTACTTAAAAAAATAAATCTTTCTAGTTATGAAAAAAAATACTCTCTTCCTAGTATTGTGTACTCACATTATTTTATTAGAACTTCCCTGTTGGGCAGCTCTCCAAATAACCTAGGTTTTCTTCCAGCAGCATGTGTGAACAGCCTGTACACATGCAATTCAGGCTCCCCCCCAACTTTTAGGTTTTAGGAGCAGCCGGCCAAAATGTCATTTGTGCGATCATGACAGGTTAGAAGGGCAGCATCACCAAACAATACTTGAGAACAGAACTTTTCTTACTTTGTACCATTTGTGGAAAGCATCACTGAAGCACAAAAGCCCTAATTAGATCAATGAAGCCATAATCCTGCAATTTTAAGTTATGAAAGACTGTGGAACACAAGCTGAAGCTTGTTCATACAGTTAGTGCAAAACTTATCTGCTTAATATATTATAGGGGTAGCTGAATCTTTCCCCAGTGACTAGTCCAGCAGAATCTTAGATTATGGGAAAAAATATTGAAGTTGTCCAACGCTTCTCTATACGAGGAATTCATTTCCTGCCATCTGAAATACATGTATGGTCAGATACGAAAAACAAACACCAACTGTGCGTTATTGCCGTATGTTTTTTTTGAGTATGGATAAGATCATCATGAGGGCCTAAAAAGGAGGAATAGCTCTACTTCCAGAATCTTCCCTAGGTGCATGCTTGGTCTAATGAACAAGCTAGAATGTAGCATGGCACTTAGTGCTATACAGTACCTAGGCAGCTCAGGATCAACCCTGCTCAGACAAACTCAGACACAGTGCCAGATACTTAAAAAAAAAAAAACAAGTCTTGCCTCACTTCCTTAAAGTCAGTATAAAAATTTAGATCCTAGGCAGTGATCCAGGTTGCCTGATCTCCAGCAATTCTTGACCCTGTGGATACGCAAACAGCGTGTGTCTCCATGGTCAGAGTTCCTTGCGTATATCCAGCTGGGCAGTGATAGTGGCAGGAGTGCTTCACTGTGGAGGTTTCGATAGGAGGAGTGGCCTTCTGCAGTCCAGCAATACTGGATTTGAGAGCCAGGCCATTCTGGATGAGATCATATCCTGCCCTCCATCTCTTTCCCACCAAAGCTGGGTCATCTGTAGCCACAGGTTTGCAATTCCCATCAGCAGTCTGCAGGGACTGTCACACGGAGCCTCAGTTCCTAGGCACCCTGGACTACCCTGCTGATACGCACCAGGTTTTAGGAGTTGCAAACCCTATCTTGAGCATCCAGTTACACATGTACCCATTTCAAACCATGAATCAGCTTCCTCCCACACAGAGTTAAATTCCAAAGCAGTCAGATTCCCAGCAGCCCTTTGAGCATAGCCACTGTCAAACAAGGTGAAACTAGTCTAACTTGGGGAAAATTCTTGGCACATAATGTCACAAGTGCCTGTAGGCGTGCAAGTGCCTTAATGATAATGATTCTAAGTGCTCACACACAGTATTGGTAATAGCAATAGCTTGTGATATGTTACGCTTTACACAGGATACACTTCCTACTACATCTATTTTTCTTAGTTTTGGGAATTCACAGTCTAGCATATATATGTGAAAAATATAAATTTTGCCATTTCTCTGTTGAATTATTTACCCTTCACCTTAAAGACTACATAGAAATATATTGTGTAGTTTAAACTTATCCTGAACATGACTAATAAAAACAGGTACAACTAAAGAATAAGGGAAATAGAAAGCAAGAAAAGATCAGAGAGAAGAGTGAAGCTTTGAGGCTTTCTGTTCCAGATTCATGTACTACACCAGGAAGGCTCACAATCACCATTATTCCCTTTATTGTTAATAAGTGGGCATTCTTTCCACAGCCAGTTAAGCCTGAAATTGCTTTTTGTTTTGTACTCCCTATGTTATCTCAGGTGAATCTAGGTATTCCTAGCTTAAGGTTCCCAAGAGAAATTTTCTTTCTAAAATAAATCATTTGGTGCTTCACAGGAATTATTATTCAATCTTAGGATGTATCTGAAGAATTCTATCAGTCATACTTCACGCCTAGGCAATAACGACATACAAGCAAACTACTGCATCTGACTCATTGCCAGGAAAGTTAAAGCCTCTGGGTTTATCCACATGGAGAAGACAAAGCTCTCTACTTGAGAGGACTTAGGTGTAGGATTCTTCACCGTGATGTAAGGTCTACTAAAGCCCTTCCACCAAAACAAGGGAACTTTACTCTTGAAATTCCTCAAGAAACACACACATATTAGGACTTCTTTGAGGTATGATACACCTTAATAACGAGTAGCACACACCTGAGAGAAGTTTCACTCTAAACCTCTGGTAAGTGTATTTGGTATAAATGACATTACAAAAGTTGAAACGTACCTCATCCCCATGCATATTAGCAACATACTTGAACTCTGGAATGCCAATCTTATGGTGGGTTGGAAACCTTCCCAGAACAAGAACCCACAGGTCTCTACCTTTAAGAGGGGAAGGGGAAAAGACATTTTTTTTAAACAAGTGTAAAATCATACAAACCTTAGAGAAAAAAAATAATAAAAGAGTTGATCATTAAGACCACCATAAAAGTTCTCATATTTCATTGCTGCCCAGTCAGTCCTATATATAGCATATCAAAGTAGACTTTTTTTATTCTGTGAGTACTTGCTAAATTAGTTATAGGAATAAATATGTTTTGCCTTCTGACCAGAAGTGTGTAGTGAACCCTGCAATTTCAAACGCATTTAACCAGTGCTAGAAAATAGTTTGGGGTGTTTTTGTAATAAACTTTTTTCAAATCAAGTTTAGCAAGCAAGATCTTGTCAAGCAAAGTCACCAAGCAACTAAAGATTTAAAATAAAAGACACTCTTCCCCCCAAAATATTAGATCATGATAAGGGTTTTCTGAAGTACATACAGATGTTTCCATTATCACAAAGAAAGAGCATAACATTTTTGTATTAAAGACAACACAGAAAAGCTAAACACATTCATGAGTTACTGCTCAGAAAACAGAAGATACCAGGCAGAGCTGTATCAGAGACATATTAAAAAAAAAAAAAAAAAAATCAGCAGGGAAAGAATTAATAGCTACAGAAAGAGTATTAGTTAGGACCAGTAAAGCTGCACAGGAAGCTGAACTTTAAGTAACAAAGTAAACAAACATACATTTTGGAAATCTTCATTTAAAGGGGGTAGGGGGCATTTATGATTATTGTTTTTAGCGATGCTGTGGCATTTCAGTTCTCATCTGCAAAGCTATGCTTCCCACTAGTCTGCTCAATGAGGTGGAAAGCTCTAGTTTCAGTAGGTGGCAGCAATGAAACCGGACCGGTTCCTTGATAACAGCGGTCACAGCCTATAGATTGCTAATGCCCAGACCTTGCATGCATGCTGCCTGTCCCCAGTTCTCACGCAGAGCTTGTTGGGGCTCATGAGCTGTCTCAACAGATTCCAGCCGTCATTGTTACTTACAGGAAGGAAGAATGTAGGTGCTGCTATATGCAGTACTATAAAAACCATTATTTCCTAAATCTTTGTGGATCATCAAATCTGCAGTAAATAAACTCTGGAGCATAACAATTTCCCAGAGGTGGAAGCCATGGCCCTCATGGTATAGCTGCAGTGAGCCAGTCACACAGCTAGAAAGGAAAACAAAAATGTGGCAACTGCAGTACCATCAGGAATGGGAGAAAAAATGTTGAAGAGGACAGAAGGAAGACTACAAGATGCACTGAAACTGCACTAAGACCTGACGGTTTCCCAGCTCTCTTCTAGACGGAAGTGGATACAGCTAAACTGTAAAACGCATGGTTTCCTATGGAGGACATGTATATCCTCTATAAAGTTATAAATTCATTTGGCCCTGGGACTGCCCATTATCAGCATGAGTACCAGGCACACAGACAGGGCTTCAAAATATCTTAGAGCCAACAGGTTCAGTGAATTACTCTGAGAGGGCTTTTTACATATAAGTGAAGTTAAGTGCTGATTAAAAGCATTAGTTTCCTCAAATCCTTAATGATTTCCTATACAAGCACAAAGGAGTGACCTAGACAGTGTGATAGCTTAGTGCAGGATCAGGACATTAAACCAGCCAATATACTTGCTATATTCATATTACCTTTCTGTATATAATTATTATCTAATATATAAAATACCCAAATCAATCACAGCAGCCAAACAATATTGTAGTCCCCAGAACATGAAGCATCTTATCTGACCTATAACCAGACATTAAGATTAGCCCCTGGTTTTATTTTAATGGAAGCAGATCATAAAGACCATTTCAAATCCAACTACTAGCAGTGATGACATCCATATCCATTGCATACAGACTTCTTAGAGCATTTCATGAACCAATGTAGAACAGTGCCGTATTCTTTAGCTACTTCCCCATAGCAGCACTAGCACCAATTCAGTACTATATATACTAAAGCAAGCCCAAGTACAGCTAAAATGCTATAGTTATTTCTGTCATTTAAGACTTTCTACAAATAATATTGTATTCTGATTTCAAATTAAAAAAAGG